GAGCATGACTTCATGGATGCCATTGACCGCCGAGAGGATACTTTTTACGTTGTGTCTTTCCGTCGGGTGAGTGAAGAGCTGTCTGCATTTGTCAGCCTCCCAAGTAAACCAGACAGGAATGAGCTAATTCTGCTTAATTGTATAGCTACATTAACAATCTTGCCAAGTCTGAAAGTACAAATCTCCCGCTGTCTTTGTTTACCGCTTGATCAGTTACGGTGGGTTCCTGTCCAAGTTTCTTTCTCTGCCCCTTATTCAGTTGTGGGCTCCCCCCCCACACTTGATCGTTCTCTAAGCCAGAGGTCTCCAAACTTGACAACTTTAAGACTTGTGGACTTCAGCTCCCAGGATTCCCAAGCCAGCACGGGAATTCTGGGAGTTGAAGTCCACAAGTCTTAAAGTTGCCCAGTTTGGAGACCCCTGCTGTTATAGGCAGCATCTCTTCCCTTCATTTCTCAAGGTTATTCCCACATACCATTACAGCCGTGCTGTTGAGCTGCAAAGAAAGGTTTGTAAACAGTAGCTATTTTATTAAGTGTATGGGTTGATTTTATGAAGACCAAGGCCGTGTGTTCAAATGTGGGGATCCAGCTTTTGCTAAAAGCCCTTGCAAGGAAAAATTAAGATAGCAATAGAGGAGACATTCACGTACTGAATAAGTAGGTTAGAACTCTTGGGCTGAAAAACAGATGACGAGAAGCACGCAGAGGGAAGGACGCGAACGGGGAATTCCTTTTGAAGTGTGAGAATATGCCAGTGTCTCGTTTTCTAGGTTAAAAAATAAATTATAGGTCCTTTATAAGGCCAAGAACTGAAATGAAGGAAAGTAAGGCAAGCCTGTTGATAAATTTGGAGTCTCCGATGAAAAGTGGTGATTCCTTTTAAGAAAATCTAGTCTGCTTAGTGGTGAAGAATCTGGGTTATCGTTTTTGTCCTTCTCTCCCCTTCTTGCTGGAAATTGCAGAGGTTGCGGTTCCAGTCTCTAGGAAGCACCACAATTGTCTCCTTGTGACAAGGGAGCTTCATTTTACAAGCTGCCTGCTGCAAGGAGACCAGTGGTGCTGGGTCAATGATAAAGCTAAATCTCACAGCTGAAGTTGGGGGAGGGGAGTTGTTAAGAGATTGGCTAGCCTGGAATCCCCCGAAGGGGAGGAAGTGACAGAAAATCTCATAAACTTTGGGGTACTTATCTAGTTGGTCTAGAGCAGGGGTAGAGTGTGCAGTTAAGTCTTGTGAGATTCCTGTAAACAGGCCAATAGCAATAAACATACTGCTCTGATCAATTATCAGTATTCTGGTTCCTTACCTTAGGGGTCCCCAACCCCCGGTCTGTGGACCGGCACCGGTCCGCGGCATGTCAAGAAACCGGTCCACGCAAACAAGCGAAGCCCCCATTCGCGGGATGCAGGCAGCACACGAAACCACGCCCCCTCCGGTCTGTGGAAAAACCTCTCTCCACGGAACCGATCCCTGGTGCCCAAAAGGTTGGGCCAACTGCTTACCTGACCCATGTTTCCTTTTCCCTTAGGACCACTTGCTGCTGCCTGCCATCAGCCACAACAAGACCTCCCGCCCTAAAATGTCCCTGGTGATGCCCGCCATGGCTCTGAACGGTAAAAGAAACCCAAAGTCTTGGGAGAGGCTGGGCGGCGGCTGCCCTCCCCTTCCAAAGGCGGCTGCATGTCAGCCTCTCTTTTTCTTTTCTCTTCTCCAGAGAGCCTCTACGGCTCCTCCCTGGGCTACGAAGTCATGATGCAGGTCGACTGCGAGGTCATGGACACCCGGGTCATCCACATCAAGAGCTCCACGGTGCCCCCTTTCCTGAGACGCCAGGGCACCCCGTCCGACAACCACACCCAGCCGTCCCCGCCTGCCTTTGCTGGGAAAACTCCCCGTACAACTTTGCGGTCTCCTCGCTCTACTTTGTCCACAGCTCGGCGGCATTCCCATCGCACCCTGTACTTTGGGGAGCATGGAGGGGGCTAGTTGGAATCTGGGAAAAGGGAAGAAATTCTGGAAGTGACATTCTTCCAACTAGGGACTTGGATATCCCCGCTCCTCGGGGCACTCCTACCCGAGCGACGGATGGATGTACCGTACGCTGGTTGGGCAGATATGGGGGCCTTTACTCTCTCCCCCCCACCACCCCCTCAAGCCTCTTTCTCAAGATGTTCCTTGGTCTCCCCGCCCACTGCCGCTTCCAAGAGGGCTCAACGGACGGGTGCTGAGCTGTTGCTGCTGCGAAGGCCTGGGCCCCCCAGCATTGCCCCAAAGAAACCTCTGGCTCATGTGTGCGGCCTCCTTGGGGTGGGGGAGGCCGAGATAGAGCTGGGTGAAATAAGGGACGGACACAAGAGGTGTCTACAACTACTGTGTGCGAGCTGGAAAGTGTGAGAGTGTAAGAAGGATGAGTGTTCTCTTTTCCTCAAAGGGAAAGACCGAAAAAATGAGAGCGCGAGTTGGTGAGCGTGTTGAAGTGTGTATGTTGTCCTCTTCAAAATTGCTTTGGTGGCACTTAGGCCTGCTCTTCTGGGTCTTTTTTTTTTGTGTGTTTGTATTTTCCCTAATTGTGTTTTTTTTTAAAAAAAAAATAAAGAATAGCTACAAACAAATTTCATACTTAACTCATCACTTTTTGTTCTAATGTCAAAACCGAATAATCCAACAGCAAAATGACACAAGCCAAAAGCAAAGCACTGTGTTTTGTGTGTTTGTGGCTGGGGTTTTTTTTTTGCTACGAATCAGCACTGCAACATTACACATGCAATAAATATTTGTTAGAAGACCCAATAATGATTCTGGATTAAGACTCGGCTCCAGTTGAGAAAATTCCTCCTGGGAAAAGTTGCATGCTTTTACATCAGCCTGACTCTGGTGCTTTTAAAACATTTCAAACCTTAAATATTCAGAAAGCATTTTTCTTGTCAAAATTAGGAGCTATCTTAACTGTACCCGTCACTGAGAATATGTAGCTGCATTGATTTTTTCCCCCTCAATATAAAGTTATAAACCGGCTTTGGAATTTCACTGGTGAAACAAGGTAGTCATTTGTAGAAGGAAAACAGGAACAAACCATCTAAAAATGTCAGTGGGTGTTTTGTCAGGTTTTAGACAAAATTCTTTGTGAAGAGCAATGAAATGGAGTTGGATTAAGGGGGAAAAACATGCTGTGCACTAATGAGACTGAATCTTGGATACATACACAACGTACGCACAGACATGTACTGTATTTCACAATGCCAGTAGTCCTTCACTTAAACAACCATTCATTTAGTGACCCAAGTTATAAAGACACTGAAAAAAGTGACTTAACAACTCTCCTTGGTCTTACAATTGTTGCAGCATCTCCATGGTCATGTGATCAAAATTTGGGCATTTGGCAACTGGCCTTTATTTACAATGGTTGTTGCAGTGTCACATGATTGCCATTTGCAATTTCAACTTCCCAATCAGTTTCCAACAAAGAAAGTCAGTGAAGGAAGCTGGATTTTCTTAATGGCTGCGTGATTCACTTAACAACTGCAGTGATTCACTTAACAAAAAGATCATAACATTGGATGCCCCTCACATAATCGCCTTGATTAGCAGTGAAAATTCTGGTCCCGATTCTGGTTGTAAGTTGTGAATTACCTGTACACAAACTACCAGCTTTAAGTCATTAGAAAAATGGGAAATTTACTGCATAACCAATGTAGAGAATTCAAATATTCTAGGTGACAAAATATTAAAGAGACAATTTGGAAATAAATTTGGCTTATAGTAGCGAAAATCAATTCTACTGAGGGAAACTCAAGGTGATGATTATACATGTTTGTAATTGGAGTGGAAATTCAACACTCAGTTGCAAATCGTCACAGGGTTTATTCATGTCAGAAGCAAGACAATTAAAATAAGGCATAGTATGCTGACAGAAATTTAAAATGCAAGATACAAGTTTAAAATATACAAATTAAATTGATCTTGCCCAGAAACTAGCAATTGCGTTCTGTCGCACTGTCAAAAGGTCCTCAAGTATACACTGATCAGAACACAAAGGGCAGGTATACATATGTGTTGTTGTCTGCCTGTCGCCACAATCCCAAAGAAACCACAGGATAGCCCCATTTGTTCAGAGTCTCTCTATGGAGATTCTCAGTCATCCAGGTCATAGTTAACCCAAAGATGTTTTTTTTAAAGTTTTTTATTAATAAAACAATTAAAACAAAAAAGGACATGACATGATGTTCCAGTATATATAATCCTAACTATGGACAGGCTAACTATGGAATTAAAGGACAAGACAGAAACGGACTATTTTGGAATCTGGGACAAATTTTACTGCTGGTATGAGTCAAGAAGAACTGTTCGGGTTTTGAGTTAAAGTTTAAGTTTGTGGTATATAAAATTATATGTTAATATATAGAGAAACAAGCTCGAGATTATATAATATTGTATTATATAGGGGAATATATATATGTTTTCTGAGGTTATATATCGCCAAGAAACTTCTAATTCTACGCGGGAGAAAACCCGAATAACTAAAGACCTACATATATATATATATATATATATATATATATATATATAGAGAGAGAGAGAGAGAGAGAGAGAGAGAGAGAGAGAGAGAGAGAGAGAGAGAGAGAGAGAGATGTATATATAGAACAGTGATGGCGAAACCTTTTAGAGACCGAGTGCCCAAACCGCAACCCAAAACCCACATATTTATCGCAAAGTGCCAGGGCCGCAGCAGCATTGTGCCCTCGGGGGGGGGGGACAGGGAGGCGCCTCTGAGTGCTGCCTCTGGCACGCAAAAACTGGGGCTGCAAAAATGGGCCGCCGTGTTGCAAGGTGCAAAAACAGCCGCCACCGCACCGCGAGGTGCAGATACAAGGCGCTGTACCACGCAAGAATAGGGCAGGGCTAGTGAGTATCATGCAGGCCCTAGCCTTGCCCCATTTGCAGTGCGTGCGTACTCACAGCCCCGTGCGCGCATGCACGCATGTAAAATGCTTCCCCCTCCCTTCCAGTCTACCAATTGACAATGGCTGGTGACCTCTGCTCTACCATCTCTACTGGAGCTTGCTAGTCGGCCGCTTTGTCTCCTTTGTGCTGGGCGGGTCTCCTGCTTTGGATGGTGGTGCCGGCCTGATGGACCTGCTGCTGCTGGTGGTGGCGCGCGTGCCAACAGAGAGGGCTCTGAGTGCCGCCTCTGGCACGCGTGCCATAGGTTCGCCACCACTGATATAGAACTTTAAGTATGATAAGGAACGAATTCCAAAGGTGTTTTTTCATGAGGCAACCCGACTTTCTTGTTTTTCTTTGAAGACATTTCGCTTCCCATCCAAGAGGCTTCTTCAGCTCTGACCGGATGGCAGGGAATGGAAGGATTTATATTCCTTGCAGACAGCTAGCTGGCCATTTGCATTTTTTTAAGAGAGCCGTTGAGGCCATATAAATATAAACCCTTCCATTTCCCCACCATCCAGTCAGAGCTGAAGAAGCTTCTTGGGGTGAGAAATGAAAGCTCCTTTGGGATTCAGAATCTCTCTGGATCTTCTTGTACCGGTGCACAATCCGTCACAGGGTTAATGCTGGCGACTGTCATTTGCTTGTGTCTTGAGGCCATATAAATATAAATCCTTCCATTTCCCCACCATCCAGTCAGAGCTGAAGAAGCTTCTTGGGATGAGAAATGAAAGCTCCTTTGGGATTCAGAATCTCTCTGGATCTTCTTGTACCGGTGCACAATCCGTCACAGGGTTAATGCTGGCGACGGTCGTTTGCTTGTGCCTTTAACTCTAGGCTACCAGATAAAATAACGATGATGATGCCTAAAGGTGCTGTGTGTGTGTGGGGGGGGGGAACTACAGCTCCCAGAATCCCGCGTGTGAGAGAGTGTGTGTGTGTGTGAGGAGGGGGGGAAATGTCGGATTTTGCACGGCAAGCAAACCACCGGGAAGAAGACTACACGTCCCAGCAGCCTAGGTGGCTCCTGAGCGCCCCCCGCGCCAGAGATCTGGCGGCTGAGATTTGCGCGATCGGGCATGGAGGAGGCGTGGATCTCCGCGGGGGGGGAGACGGAGAGATCGCTCTGAAGGGTCGAAAGCCGCGGGAAACCCTCCCGGGGGAGCCGCCGTGGTGCTGTTGGCCGATGCGGGTGAGGGGGGGGCGGCGGCGGCGGCAGGATTGAGGGATCGGGGGGCTCCCGCTAGAAAGGGGGAAGGGCTGGGCAGACCGTCCAGCCCTTTGTCCGGGCTTTTCTCAGCCCGTCTGTCCGGTCCGACCCCTCGGAGAGAGGCAGAAGCCCTAAAGGGCAGCGGGCGAGCGAGGGGCGCCGGAGACTGGGGGGGGGGGACAGGCAGGCACCCCTTTGTTTTCTCCGACGGGGAAAAGCGCGGGGGGGGGACTCCGTGGGGGGATCCAAGTTAGGAGCTCTTTCGCTGCAGGGAATCGTCCGAGATCGACCGATCCGCAGATTTGGGGGCGCCCCTCCAGGCTGCAAAGTTTGCTCTTCAGGAAGTTGGCAGATTGACAAACCCGAATCCCTGGCCCGTTTTGAAGGGAGGGGGTGCCGAAGGGGGACCCTTGGTTGGTGCGGAAGAATCAACGCAACCTGGTGCCATTTTTCGGAAAGGTTTTCTTGTACATCTGTGGTTTATATACTCCGTTCTTCTTTCAGTCAAGGACAATATGAGTTGAATATCAATTTATTAAATGTCCCCGGTGGTGAACTTAGTTGCAGGTATCTCAACTTATGGAACGGATGAAGGAAGACCACCGTTTGCACTTCTGAACGCCCTCATCCAAAGGGATATTTGCATTAAATCAGTGTCAAGGCATGGGTTAGCATAGAAGCAAATTGTATTTATTCCATCCAATGGCGTTTCCGTTTCGTTTTTAAAAGCTGGTTTTAAAAAGGAGAGCTCAGAAAAAATAGGGCTGTTATGGGTGAGAAAACGTTATGGCATTGCTCTTTATGTATCTCTAAATCTTTAGCTGTTAGGTATTGTCTGCATTTTTTTAAAAAAAAGCAAGTTTATGGAAATACTTAACTTATTTAAAATAAAGTTGGTTGGAATGGCAAAAGTAATCCAATGTAATATTACAGGATCGTTAGCACTGCCAAATCAGAAAGGGTCTCTGATTTATTTCTATACAAGTCACTTTCATAAAAGCTGATGTTGTTTTTAGAAACCATTTTGAGGGACTTATGACCGTTGCCACAGTGAGGAATATTTTGAGCACCAGAATTCTCACTGAGAACAAAGAAACATAAGATAGTTTCTCCCATTGGCTGTTTTTGGTACAGGTTGTCCTCGATTTACAACCATTCATTTAGTGACCGTTTGAAGTTAAAACAGCACCAAAAAAGCTGACATGATCGTTTTTTACACTTACAACTGTTGCGGCATTCTCATGGACATGTGATCCAAATACGGACACTTGGCAACTGGCTCAAATTTATGACGGTTGCAGTGTCCCGGGCTCATATGACCACATCTTGCAACCTTCTGACAAGCAAAGTCAATGGGGAAGTCAGATTCACTTAACAACTGTGTTACTTACTTAATAACTGCAGTGATTCACTTAACAACTGTAGCAAGAACGGTCATAAAATAGGGCAAAATTCACTTAACTATCTTGCTTAGCAATGGAAATTTTGGGCTCAACCGTGGTTGTAAGTTGTGGATTAACTGTACTTGCGTGCAAATTGCGAAGTGATTATCGTTGCCTAAAATAAAATAGCAGCTCAAAGACAGTGCTTCTCAACCTGGGCAAGTTTAAAACGAGTGGACTTCAATTCCCAGAATTCCCCAGCCAGCATGGCTAGCTAGGGAATTCTAAGAGTTGTCCTCTGAAACTTGCCCAAGTTGAGATACACTGATCGTAAAGCTTAAGTTTCAACAAACTTTTTTACAATATTCTTGTGCTTCCCCCAACCAATTTTATTATCCTCCTTTCCCCCCAAACTTTAAATCTTTTTCTTCAGAACAACCACTGTAGGATTTGAAAAAGGGAACATCTTCTCTATTCTTCCCCTGCCTAAGTAATTATTTTATTGCTTATATTATAAAATGCAAATGTTCGCTGGGTACAGAGGCATGTATCAATCATCAATATAAGCAACAAATTATTAACCCTATGAAAGTTCAGATAAACCTTTAAAGATAAGGAAAACAAAGTTCATACCAATGTTAAATATAATTTATTAAATGTTAATAAACATAAGGTTACTTGATTGGTACAACTGAAGTGAAGAACGGTATTGATAGACAATTGCAAAATATGGTAAGTACTTTATAATGTAATCAAGGTTTGTATCTTTGAGTTAAGTGCTTAATACTAAGATCTGTGTTGTTTATTGTTCATAAATGTTAAGGAAAAAAGAAAGGGAAAGGGGAAAAAAAGAGCTATTTGGAAGAGTAAATAAGTATTTTGGTCTCTAATTTAACTCTTCTCTATACTCCAACTGATTTGCAGTATTTAGAAATATTTAGATCACCTTAAAACTATACAGAGAGTACTTGACTTACAACAGTGCATTTAGTGACCAAGGTTACAATGACACTGACAAAAGTGACTTATGATGAAGTTTTTTCACATTTACACCCATTGCAACATCCTGATGGTTATGGGATCAAAATTCGGACGCTTGGTAACTGCCTCATATTTATGACGGTTGCAGTGTCCCGGGGTCATGTGACCATCTTTTGCGGCCTTCTGACAGTGGGGAAGCCAGTATCACTTAACAACCTGTGGCTTAACTTAACAACTGCAGTAATTAACTTAACACCTGTGGCAAGAAAGATCATAACATGGGGCAAAATTCACTTAACAACTATCTCACTTAGCAACAGAAATTTTGGGCTCTATTGTGGTCATAAGTCGAGGACTTCCCATACTGTAAATGTTTGTATTTTCTTTGCTGAGTGACGTATTGTGTACATCGAGGCCATTCTTGCCTATATTTAGTTAAGCTTCTGTTGTGGATATACAGATAGTCTTCAACTTATGACCATTCATTTAGCGACTGTTCAAAGTTACAGTGGCAGTGAAAAAAGTGACCTATGAGCGGTCATCACACTTACGACCATTGCAGTGTCCCTAGGGTCACCTGATCCTGATGCAAGGTGCTTAGCAACCAGCAAGTATATATGACATTTGCAGTATCCTGGGGTCACTTGCAGCCTTCCCAACCGGCTTCCAACAAGCAGACTCAGTGGGGAAGCTGGGAGAAGCTTGAAAATCACAGTCATGTGATCTCTTGTTTAACAACCATGGCAAAAAAAGGTTGTAGGGTGCGGTGATTTGAGCCTTGACTTAACGAACACCTGCTTAACAACAACAGTAACAATAATAATAATAAAGTTGGAAGGGATCTTGGAGGTCATCTAGTCCAACCCTCTTGCTCAGGCAGGAAACCCTATACCAGTGGTTCTCAACCTGTGGGTCGGGACCCCATTTGGGGTCGATTGACCATTTTATGGGGGTCGCCAAGCAAGGCTGTCCGCCATTTTTTTTTGTCCGCCATTTTTTTCCCTTTTTCCAGCGGGTGCCTAACCTCTCTTGGGCTGGGCCAGCTGGTGGTCGGCCTGCTCCGTCTCTGCCACTTGCCAGCTACGCCTCGGCCGGCGCAGGGGGCGGAACCACGCATGCGCAGCGCTCCCGGGCAGGGAAAGTCCTCGACTTACGACCGGTTGGGTAGTCCTCGACTTACGACCGGTTTAGTCCTCGACTTACCTTCAGTTTAGTCCTCGACTTACGACCGGTTTAGTCCTCGACTTACGACCGGTTGGGGTCGCGGCATTAAAAAGGTTGAGAACCACTGCCCTATACCATTTCGGACAAATGGCTGTCCAGTCTCTTCTTAAAAACTTCCAGTGTTGGAGCATTCACCGCTTCTGGAGGCAGGTTGTTCCACTGGTTAATTGTTCTAACTGTCAGGAAGTTTCTCCTTAGTTCTAGGTTGCTTCCCTCCTTGATTAGTTTCCATCCGTTGCTTCTTGTCCTGCCTTCAGGCCCTTTGGAAAATAGCTTGACTCCCTCTTCTTTGTGGCAGCCCCTGAGATATTGGAACACTGCTATCATGACACCCTTAGTCCTTCTTTTCATTAAACTAGACATACCCAATTCCTGCAACCGTTCCTTATATGTTTTAGCCTCCAGTCCCGTGATCATCTTTGTTGCTCTTCTCTGCACTCTTTCTAGAGCAGGGATGTCAAACTGCCGGCCTGCGGGCCGGATGCGTCATGGCGAAACCCCGCCCATCCCATTGCCGGCAATGGAGAAAAAGTCACGATACATTGCAACATGTCATGTGACACTGCGGGCTTGACACCCCTGTTCTAGAGTGTCAATGGATTCTCCAAACCCAATTCTGGTTGTAAATTGAGAACTACCTGTATGTGGTTAGTTTTACCATTATTGCTTGTACAGGCAGTTCTCAACTTACAACAGTTCGTTTAGTGACCACACGAAATTACCAAGGTACTGAAAAAAATGACTTATGACCGTTTTTCACACTTAGGATCGTTGCAGTATCCCCATGGTCACGTGATTTACATTCAGATGCTTGACAACTGGTTCATATTTATGACGGTTGCAGTGTCCCGGGGTCATGTGATCCTCTTTTGTGACCTTCCAACAAGGGGGAGGAGGCCAGATTCACTTAACGGCCATGTTACTAACTTAACAACTGCAGTGATTCACTTAACAAATGTGGTAAGAAAAGTCATAAAATGGGGCAAAACTCATTTAACAAATTCCTCACTTTGCAACATAAATTTTGGGTTCAACTTTGGTCATAAGGACTACCTGTAATCTTCAAGTTTAAGTTCAGACTCAGAAATAATAATAATAATAATAATAATAATAATGATGATGATGATGATGATGATGATGATGATGATGATGATGTTGGAAGGGACCTTGGAGGTCATCTAGTCCAACCCCCTGCTCAGGCAGGTAACCCTATACCATTTCGGACAAATGGCTGTCCAGTTCCCTTCTTAAAAACTTCCAGTGTTGGAGCATTCACCACTTCTGGAGGCAGGTTGTTCCACTGGTTAATTGTTCTAACTGTCAGGAAGTTTCTCCTTAGTTCTAGGTTGTTTCTCTCTTTGGTTAGTTTCCATCTTTGGTGCTGTATCTTTCTCCCTGTGCTTGGCAAAGTTTATCCTTGCAGCTGTGAGCATTTATCTCAGTAGGTTCTTGTTCCTTGTTAACATATTCTGGACTTATACCAAGTTAAAATGTGATTTCATTTCAGATTGAATCTCTAAAATTCTCTGATGGTACCATGGTAAATCTTTCCAGTATGTGGCGAAATGTCCCTTCTGTTTCATGACATTTCCAACATTTGTTACTGTATAATTTATCTGTATTGGAGGTGGGAACCATCTGTAAAAGATTTTATGCCAATTATAAGCTAGAGTGAATTTAATGGGTTTGGTCCATAGTTTTTCCCACTGTTGAGTTGTGATTGTTTCTTTAAAGTTCTGCATCCATTTTATCATGCTTTTTTTTTTTACTTATTCTATCTTCATATCATATCGGAGGAGGAGTTTATATATGTATTAGTGCCTCTATTGTAGATAAACAGACTGGTATTTTCAAATACTGTTGTTGTTTAATTTTTGTCCATACTAGCAGTAATGCATTCCTAATATAATGTCTTTGAAAGTAGCTATGTATCTCACTCTTCCCATACCATTAAGAAAGCATGCCATCCAATTGGAGATCATGACCCTCCAGTGTCAACAATCTTATATTCCTCAGATTAATCCATTCTTTTACCCACGTGAATACTGATGCTTGATGATATAGCTTCCAATCCGGAAGGCCAAAGTCTCCTCTATTTTTGGCATCTTGTAACATTTTTACAATTATTCTCGCTTTTTTTTGCCTTGCCATATAAATTTTAATATCATTTTATTTAATTCTTCAAAATATTTTTTTTCTACTCTTATTGGAATTGTCTGAAACAGGTACAGTAATCTTGGCAAAATATTCAACTTAATTGTAGATATTCTACCCAACAAGCGTTCAAATTTTGATCATATGATTATGGGGATGCTGCAGCGGTCGTTAGTGTGAAAAATGGTCGTAAGTCACTCTTTTCAGTGCCACTGTAAGTTGAGGACTACCTATATAATATTGGAAAAAACTTAACCTATTGGGCATAATGGTGTTGGTCTACCTGTGTTCGTTTCATTCTGGACCAATCGTTGATACCAATATAGAATAGAATAGAATATAGAATATAGAATATATAGAATATAGAATATAGAATAAAATAGAATAGAATAGAATATGGAAGGGATCTTGGAGGTCTTCTAGTCCAGCCCCCTTGTTCAAGCAGGAGAACCTATACCAATGGTGGAGAACCTATGGCACGCGTGGCAGAGGTGGCACTCGGAGCCCTTTCTGTGGGCACGCGTGCTGTCGCCCAAGATAGAGGGATGCGGGGTCGGGCTGCTCCCCTCCACCTCTCCACGTGCACAGAGTCCGGGAACAGCTGCGAGAGCTAGGCAGGGAGAAGGGAACCTATAAAAGGAGCAGGTTTTGGCGGGAGAGTGAATGAACATCCTTTGGAAGAGACAGTGGGCAGCGAGCGAGTGAGCGAGCACGTGGCCTTTGGAAACGACCAGTGGTGGTTTCAAATAATTTAACAACTGGTTCTCCTGGCTGTCCCACCTGCCAGAGACCCCCTGGAACTCCCCCAACCCTGCCTGGCCCCCACGAGTAACACTGAGGTGGTCACGCCTACCCCGGCCATGCCCACCCAATCTGCCGTGAGCACCGCGGCCATGCCCACCCAGTGACCCATGCCCACCAGGTATCGGTGCTAAATAAGTAGCTTTTGGTTGCAGTTTGGGCACTCGGTCTCTAAAAGGTTCGCCATCACTGACCTATACCATTTCAGACAAGTGACTGTCCAGTCTCTTCTTAGAAACCTCCAGTGATGGAGCGCCCACGATTTCTGAAGGCAAGCTGTTCCACTGGTTAATTGTCCTCACTGTTAGGAAGTTTCTCCTTAATTCCAGGTTGCTTCTCTCTTTGGTCAGTTTCCAACCATTGTTTCTTGTCCTGCCCTCTGGTGCTTTGGAGAATAATTTGACCCCCTCTTCTTTGTGGCAGCCCCCCAAACACTGGAACATTGCTTTCATGTCAATTTCCACTTTCTCTTTTGCCTTTCACAGGTCTCTGGCTGAAAGGGTTGCATCTACCAGGGACTGACCCAGGAAGAGAGTTTGGAGAGACAGGGAGGCTGAATCCATTTTCTTTGTCCTTTCAGAGGCTGGTGTCATTTAAAGATGTGGCCGTGTATTTCACGGAGGGCCAGGGGGCTCTGCTGGATCCAACCCAGAAAGCTTTATACAAAGAAGTCATGGTGGAGAATTATGAGAACGTGGCCTCCTTAGGTACGAGTCTCTTGCTTCTTTCGTTGAGCTAAAGACAGATGCAAAGGACTGTGATCAATCTCTGCTTCCCCCTTGTATTTTCAGGAGTGTGATTTTTAATTTGATTTTCTGTCAAGGGTTTCCCGTTCCGAAGCCAAATCTCATCTCTCGTCTGGAACGAGGAGAAGAACCTTGGCTGTTAGATTCTCCAGGGCTGGATGCCAACAGCTCAGGTGAGAGATGGAAAAAATATATATCCCAGTTGGCAAATAAAGCCACAGAAATCTCTCTTCTTTTGTCTCCATAAAAGGTAGTCCTCAACTTAAGACCACAAGGGGAGCCCAACATTTATGCGCATATGCAATACGTGCAGCCGTTATAATATGTATAATGATGTATTGGAGTCGTTTTTCAATTTTTGGATTAATTATACCTAATACAAATATTTCGGGCTTGAATTCAATTTGTTGTTTTGTTATTTCCAGTAGCCATCTTCTTATCTGCTCCCAGTAGATTTTTGCTTTGGGGCATTGCCACCACATATGGTAGAATGTTCCCTCATTATTTTTGCATTTCCAACCATCTGGATTCATATTTTTATAAATTTTAGCCAATCTCGCCGGTGCTAGATGCCATCTGTAAAACATTTTAATTTGGTTTTCTTTATACGCAGTTGACAACGTTAATTTGCAATTTACATTCCAAGTTCTTTTCCATTCATCTAGTCCTATATTTCTACCTATATTTCGGGCCCATGCTATCATTGGGCCCTTTACGATTTCTTCTTCAAATTCAATTTCTAGTAGGAGTTTATAGGTTTTTGTTAAAAAAAATTCTCCCTTGTTTATCAATATTTTATCCAATTGCTATAATGTTTGACATATCCCATACTCCTCCATATCTTTATTATATTTTGATTTTATCTGTGCATATGGCCACCAATCAATAATTATTCCCTGTTCTTTTAATTCATCTCTTGATCTTAACTTCCCTTGGTTATCTAATAATAATTCTTTATACCTAATCATTTTTGTTTTATCTAATGTGTTTGGATGAATCATCGCCTCCATTGGTGAAATCCAAATTGGAATTTTCGTATAATTTTTTTTTAAATTTTTCCCCATATCCAAATTAATGCATCCCTTATCTGATGTCGGAAGAAATATGTATGCATTTTCTTATCTTTCCCCCATAGAAAAGCATGCCATTCAACTTGTAGATCGTGACCTTCAATTGTAAGGACCCTTTTTGTTGTTGTTAATTGCGAAGTCGTGTCCGACCCATCGCGACCCCATGGACAAGGTTCCTCCAGGTCTTCCTGTCCTCTACCATCTTCTGGAGTCCATTTAAGTTCACGCCTACTGCTTCAGTGACTCCATCCAGCCACCTCATTCTCTGTCGTCCCCTTCTTCTATTGCCCTCCATCTTTCCCAGCATTAGGCCCTTCTCCAGTGAGTCCTTCCTTCTCATTAGGTGGCCAAAGTACTTGAGTTTCAACTTCAGGATCTGGCCTCCTAAAGAGCAGTCAGGGTTGATCTCCTCTAGGACTGACCGGTTTGAATGCCTTGCAGTCCAAGGGACTCGCAGGAGGCTTCTCCAGCACCATAGTTCAAAGGCCTCAATTCTCTGTCGCTCAGCCTTTCTTATGGTCCAACTTTCACATCCATACATTGCAACTGGGAAAACCATGGCTTTGACTATACGTACTTTTGTTGGCAGGGTGATGTCTCTGCTTTTTAGTATGCTGTCTAGATTTGCCATAGCTTTCCTCCCCAGGAGCTGTTCTGTCCCCCGTCCGACTCACACCCCCCAACCAGTCAGCCGAGGGCTAAAAGACTGCTCAGCACTGCCAAATACAGATAAACACTTGGCAGCAACTCCGTGGCTGCCTGCCAAGACCTTTACTGATAACACACAATACAAACACAAATCAAGTCCAGGATAATTCTGGAGTGCTGCAACAGAAGATTCAGTATTGTCCGTCACAAGAGTTTCAAACGGCACACCCCTTGCTTATATAGCCTGTGGGGTGTGGCCCAGTGACTCAGCTGGAATCTCTGGCACGACGCCTTAGCTGCTGCGCACGTTTGTCCCTCCGACGCTGGCGTGGATCCAGCCAAGACGTATCCTCCTCTGAGTCCGACACACCTGGCTCCTGGCCAATCCCAGAAGCACCTGGCTCCTGGCTGATCTCCTCTCCATCGGAAGACACTGAAGGCCGCACCAGAGGGGAAGGGCCTGGAGAGGGAGGCCTGGCCATCTCCTCTCCTTCATGTTCAGAGCCTTCCTCCTCCGATGATAGGGACCCACAGGACGGAGCCACAACAGGAGCAAGCGTCTTTTAATTTCTTGGCTGCAGTCCCCGTCTGAGGTGATCTTGGAGCCCAGGAAAATAAAATCTGTCACTACCTCCATTTTTNCAAGCCAACTTTTGCACTCTCCTTCTTCACCCGCATCAAGAGGCTCTTTAGTTCCTCTTCACTTTCTGCCATTAGAGTGGTATCATCTGCATATCTTAGGTTGTTGATATTTCTCCTGGCAATCTTAATTCCAACTTTTGATTCATCTAGCCCTGCCTTTCTCATGATGTGCTCTGCATATAAGTTAAATAGGCAGGGCAACAGTATACAGCCTTGCCGGACTCCTAAGGACCCTTTTATTTTCTAAATTTATCCTGTCACTGATTCAAAGCAATCCAGCTGCTTGGTAGTAAGTTTCCCATTTTGGGAGTCCAAGGCCATCTCTACTTCTACTATCCTGTAACGCTTTAGCATTTATTCGTGCTTTTTTACCTAGCCATATAAATTTATTAATCATTTAATTCATCAAAAAAAAATTTCCCCAGTTTTATTGGAACTGTTTGAAAGAGGTATAACACTCTTGGTAAAACATTCTAATCGCCGAAATCCTTCCTAACAATGATAATTGTAATTTCCCCCAAATCTCTAAATCTTTTTGTATACATAGTACCAATTTTTTATAATTATCTTCTTTTATTGAGGAACATCTTGCGGTGAGTCAAATTCCCAAATATTTAACCTTTTTTACTATTTGCAACCCCAAATTTTCTTCTAATCCCCTTTTTTGTTTTTCAGTTAAATTTTTAACTAATATTTTAGTGTTTTCTTTGTTTATTTTTAGTCCCGCCACCGTTCCATAATTCTCTATTTCATCTATTGAAATTCTACCTCTTTCAAACGGTTCCTCTATAAAAAACACCAAATCATCTGCAAATGCCTGTATCTTATATTCTTCTGTTTTAATCCTTAATCCCCTTATCTCTTTGTTATTTCTAATTTGAGTTAGTAGCACTTCTAACGTTAGAATAAAAAGTAGAGGTGACATTGGACATCCCTGTCTTACACCCTTGTTAATTTCAATCTTCTCTGTATTTTCCCCATTTATTATTACTCTGGCCTTTTGTGTTCTATATATTGATTTTATCATTTGTTCAAATTTCTCGCCAAATTTCATATTTTCTAGTTGTTGGAACATAAATTGCCAATTAAAATTATCAAAAGCCTTCTGGGCATCTACAAATATTAATGCAGCCTGTTTTTCGGGGTGTGCTTCGTAATATTCCAAAACATTCAGTACAATTCTTGTATTATTCCTAATTTGTCTATTTGGTAAAAAACCGTTTTGATCCGAATATATTATTTGATTTAATATTATTTTTAGTCGTTCCGCCATTATTGTAGTAAAAATTTTATAGTCCGAATTCAACAACGAGATTAGCCTATAATTTTTTTATTTGTTTAGGATCTGTATCTTCTTTTGAAATGAGGGTTATGTTGGCTTCTGTCCATGAATCTGGTAATTTAGCTTTCTCCAATATATCATTATATACCTCTAATAGTGTCATTTCCAAATCTTCATATAACAGTGGTTCTCAACCTTTTTAATGCCACGACCCCCAACCGGTCGTAAGTCAAGGACTAAACCGGTCGTAAGTCAAGGACTAAACTGGTCGTAAGTCGAGGACTTTCCCTGCCCGGGAGCACCACGCATGCGTGCTTCTGCCCCCTGCGCCGGCCAAGGCATAGCTGGCAAGCGGCAGAGACGGAGCAGACCGACCACCAGCTGGCCCAGCTCAAGGGAGGTAAGGCACCCGCCGGAAAAGGGGAAAAAAATGGCGGACAGCCTTGCTTGGCGACCCCCTTGAAATGGTCGATCGACCCCAAATGGGGTCGCGACCCATAGGTTGAGAACCGCTGTCATATAAGGTCTTATATAATTCCCCAGGTAGACCATCTGGCCCC